GTACGGGCGCCGACTGCCCCTCACGGCCGCCATGTTGGGCGGGGGTATAGCCTGTCTGCTCACCATTCCCTTCATGACAAGTAAGTGATAGTAAGGGATCGTAGCATACACTATGGTATATAAGCTAGGTTATTAGTGTTGATATTTTGATTAAAAATTATCTGGTTAATTTGTTAATTACCTGCATTCTATACCTTTTGCACATGAATGGATTGGTATGTTTAGGTTATAGTAAAAGGCAACCCTATGTATGCAAAAAAAACATACAGTTTTTTATTTAACCCATTGGTTAAGCATATAATCTGTTGTGAAAACTTATGGCACATCCAATTGCCTACAAATAACCCTATCCTCCCATACAATCAATTTTATATACTGTACTTCCGTTGTTGTATAGCTCTCTCTCTCTCTCTCTCTCTCTCTCTCTCTCTTTCTCATCAAAAATACCTGATTACAGAATATAATATTATAAATACAAGAATATTCTTATAATAATTAATTAAATGATCTGTGAATTAAAAAATCAAATAGAAATACAGATATTAGCGTTTCAATAAGTATACAGGACAAACCTTTACAAATTAATTTAAACTCTTCCGTCACTCTCTTATTTACTTATTGAAAACATCCACAAACCTACAGGTGCTGTGGTGTGGCCGCGCGTGACACTGGCAATGGTGGGCAAGTTTTGCGTGACCTGTAGTTTTGGTATCATTTACGTTTATTCGGCCGAAATATACCCCACAGTCGTCCGCAATGTGGGAGTCGGTAGCAGTTCTATGGTGGGCCGTATGGGCTCCATATTAGCCCCCTTTGTTAAGGAACTGGTACTTCACATATACTTTTTAACTGCTATTCTGTAAAGGTTACTACATGTCATGTATCCTATTCAGGGCATTTACACACATGTGACGGTGCCATTAGCCATATTCGGCATATAAAACAACAATATTTTTAGTTTTATTTTTGAAATGAATTTATTTTCGTCTGTATTTTGTTATTGCTTTGTGTTTCCGAGTAAAGCAAAAGTTGTCTGAAAACTGGAAGGGAAAGGGATGAGAAAAGTAGTTGCATTGCGAAGCTAAGTGTCTGTAGGTGTGTGGGAACGGCAGGTTTCGCAGAATCCATAGGGTTTTCATCATTTAATTAGTAACACATTTTGTCAGACAAACGGATAAAAAGGGTTCAAATGTTTGTGTATTTATTGTTGAATACATGTAAATCAGACAAATCCATACTGTAATAGCCTGTATTGAATACATCTGGTGATTTTCATGACACCAATAGCCACTGGCTTATCAGTTAGTATATGGGGAGACAGGGATTACACTTTTTAACAAACACTTATCAATTATAAGTTATAATCTAATGAGCTGGCACACAATTTAGATAAATTGAGAATTAAGCAAAACACAAAGCTTAAATCTAAACGCATTTATTTATAGCAATTTATTTATAATTACTGCCATTCATTTAATGGTAATAAAAATAAGTTTTATGAATTAAAATATTTCGCGTAATAACTATAACTTTAAAAACTTTATCAAATTAATATTTGTAAGTTTTTGCATTATTTTACTAAACTCCTGATCCGGTGCTCCCTGTCCACCAGGTTTGTCAACGCGTTTATATACTACGGGCAGCGTAATAACTATAACTTTAAAAACTTTATCAAATTAATATTTGTAAGTTTTTGCATTATTTTACTAAACTCCTGATCCGGTGCTCCCTGTCCACCAGGTTTGTCAACGCATTTATATACTACGGGCTGTCGCTGAACACGAATAACTTGGGCGGCAATCCGTTCATAAACTTCCTGATGGCCGGTGCGGTCGAGTTCCCGGCCTATGCCCTATGCATATACCTGTTAAAAAAGTACGGGCGCCGACTGCCCCTCACGGCCGCCATGTTGGGCGGGGGTATAGCCTGTCTGCTCACCATTCCCTTCATGACAAGTAAGTGATAGTAAGGGATCGTAGCATACACTATGGTATATAAGCTATGTTATTAGTGTTGATATTTTGATTAAAAATTATCTGGTTAATTTGTTAATTACCTGCATTCTATACCTTTTGCACATGAATGAATCGGTAGGTTTAGGTTATAGTAAAAGGCAACCCTATGTATGGAAAAAACATACAGTTTTTTATTTAACCCATTGGTTAAGCATATAATTTGTTGTGAAAACTTATGGCACATCCAATTGCCTACAAATAACCCTATCCTCCCATACAATCAATTTTATATACTGTACTTCCGTAGTTGTATAGCTCTCTCTCTCTCTCTCTCTCTCTCTCTCTCATCAAAAATACCTTATTACAGAATATAATATTATAAATACAAGAATATTCTTATAATAATTAATTAAATGATCTGTGAATTAAAAAATCAAATAGAAATACAGATATTAGCGTTTCCATAAGTATGCAGGACAAAACTTTACAAATAAATTTAAATTCTTCCCTCACTCTCTTATTTACTCATTCAAAACATCCACAAATCTACAGGTGCTGTGGTGTGGCCGCGCGTGACACTGGCAATGGTGGGCAAGTTTTGCGTGACCTGTAGTTTTGGTATCATTTATGTCTATTCGGCCGAAATATACCCCACAGTCGTCCGCAATGTGGGAGTCGGTAGCAGTTCTATGGTGGGCCGTATGGGCTCCATATTAGCCCCTTTTGTTAAGGAACTGGTACTTCACATATACTTTTTAACTGCTATTCTGTAAAGGTTACTACATGTCATGTATCCTATTCAGGGCATTTACACACATGTGACGGTGCCATTAGCCATATTCGGCATATTGTCGGTTACGGACGGACTGCTGATCCTATTCCTGCCCGAGACTAATGGCAAAGAGATTCCCGACACCATTGACGACGTCGAGAGGTCTAAGAGGTTTGTCTAGTTTTTTCACCTATTTTTATACATCATTTCAAAACTTTCTATGAGTTTCTATAGAGATTAAACCTTTACAAAGTCATCCCTATAAGATATATCAATATTACCATGAAAACATACATGATCATTATTTTTAACTGTTCTAATAGACTATACCTTTAAGACACCACACCTTTTGAAACTATTTGAACTGATTTTTGTTTTATATTTATCCAGTGATACAAACACAAGCAGTTGTGTAATGAGTCTCAATAGCAGTATGGATGGCTCGTACGGCGCTGAAGGGGAAAGGGATCTCAAGTCGATGGGCACTAGTATTTAATGATAAATCCAATTTCTATTACATTTCAACTTGTTCATAAAAGAGTTTCACGTTATCAATCAGTGATATAATTAATTATCGGTTATACTTTGTAAGCAAACCTTTTTTTATTAGTACTGTACACTAATGAAGCATACTATGAGGGAAAGGTAGATATTTCTGGAAACACATATTCACGCAAATGATATTCATTTGAATAAATAGAGTCTATACTATAATAATAGTAAAGTAAAAAAGTTTTCTAAATATTGATTTCAGAGCCGATAAAACTAAATAAGGATTTCAATGATAAAAAACTTTAAAAATTAATATTTTTGAAATTCATATTCCGTTTTGTATTTCCAGATATATTCTGTAGATATTGCTGTGAATTCTGCACATAAAATATTATAATGTGTTTATACAGGTACAATTATTTTATTAATTTTTATATTCACTTCATTATATAAAAATATTCACTATATTATAATTATTAATTTATAGATTAATACATAAATATATATGCATTTATATTATTATTATATAATTTCATTTATACACCATAAATGTCATGAGATTTATATAAATTTTATTTAATTTGCGATTTTATTGTTAACTATTATTTTTGATTATAACTTATCGCGTACTGTATACTTATGCATAACTCCTATAATATGTAATGAATGAGCTAGCAAATAAAAAACAAATTAGTAACACATTTATACCGCGCAAACACAATAGACGTATAAATTGTGTTCAAGAAATTTAATACTTATATACATCTTATATACATATATTTAATACTTATATACATCTTATAATTAATTGAAAGTCGCAGGGAGAAATAGCGGCACGTATTGTGTAGCACTAAATATTATACACTATGTATAAGTTTTTTAATTTATTAGGCAAACACCTGTTTTTGAAAAAGGGTTTCAAATTGTTTTCAAACTTTTATTTTTTATGATTGTTTTGCGCCAACTCTCTCTCTCTCTCTCTCTCTCTCTCATCTTAAGAGGCATTCAAAGACATACAATACATTCACATATTATTTAGCGCTTAAACATTTCAGTTATTTTAATGAAATACTTGTATAAATCATTTATAATGTATTATTTTCGGTTAAGTATTTTTAGTTATTAATTTTGGAGTGAGTGAGTGAGAGAGAGAGAGAGAGAGAGAGAGAGAGAGAGAACTGTTTTATTGTTGCCGACCAAATATACTCAGGGATGTTGTCTCACACGGTTAGGTCATAGGAGTGTTTGTGCCGGTATTTTCTTACGTATAGACAGAAGTTATTGCCAGACATTTAGTCTGAGTCTGAAATGTATTTTATTTGAAATACAATGTTCTCAACGCCCGGTAACTGTCTGTATGTGTAAACCATTGTCTTATATTTATTATACACCTGGGTGTAAGCTTATATAAGTAAAATTTTTGTGAATCACATTTTTAGGTGTCCTAGCTCATATTAGCACTTATACAGTTATACAGTGGATCAATTATACAGTATTAATATACAATTATTTACACAATAAAACAAGCAAACAACTTTTCAAACAGAATACCATTGTAAAACAATTGAAAGTATTGGGAAAGTATATAAAACTATTTTCCCATACAATCTATATTACAATTTTCAATTGCAATACCAATTTGAATGTCAGAGGATTTCAATGTTCTCGTGTAATGATGGGATCACCGTTTATGGCATCACCTAATTAGTGCCCGACTACGTATACTCTATGTTTTTGTTGAACCCTTTTCCACACTACAGGCACAAATACTGTTCCAGTGATCCAGGTCTTAGCAAAATGTATGTTTATTTAGTTAACATTAAAACCAATTGGCATCGCATATCATATACCAATTATTGTATGAACTATGAGCTATACGACCCTCCCGTCTCACTATCTATTCTTGAGTCGAGAGAGAGAGAGAGAGAGAGAGAGAGAGAGAGAGAGAGAGAGTTATTGACCTCTCGTTTAGGGAAT